ATTGATGGTACACAGAAGGGAAGGGAAGTGGGAGGTATGGCAGAGAAGGAAGGCGACAGAACAGATGAGGAAGTGGATAAGAGTGGTGTCAAAGATGTGGTCAAAGGAAGGGAAAGGGGCAGGGGCGAAGCTAAAACCGGAAGAGTTCGCGTTACATTCGGGAAGGATAGGTGGGGCGACGAGGCTGGCCGCGAAAGGGGTACCGGAGGCTGTGATAAAGAAGGAAGGGAGGTGGTCGTCGAACGCATTCATGGCATACGTGAGGGCGAACATGCAAGACCCAGCATGGGTGTCGGCGGTGTTGGAAGAAGGGGAAGGGGTATTGGAGAGACAGCCGGGGCAAGGGACGGAATGGGGAAGAAATCGGGAAGAGGGATCAAGAAGTAAGAAGAACAAGACTTCGTGATGGGGAGGTTTGTGTCCAAGCTGGGCGACCAGCGGAATGTGGTCAGCCTGGTTCTTATTACTTAAGGAAGCGTGTGGGTTCCTTAGTAGGCTTAAGGGCCGGGAGGGAGGGAGAGAGTTCTACCTCGAAGACCCGGCCTTTCCGCGGCAACACAATAACAAAAATGGCATTTTTCGGGAGGTGAGAGACAAAGTGGAAGGTTGTGTTGTACAACCTGGTGTTTTGTCAGAACGGTTAGAAAGATCAAAGGGGGCACTGTAGGTAAGAGAGAATTGATACATAGGTAGGCATGTGTAACGGAAAGAAAAGAAAAAGAAAGAGATGCACCTTGCTCACAACAGAAGAAACATCTGAACGAAAGAGCAAGACAACAAACAAAGAAGAGGAGGAGTAGAAGAGAGACAGAGGAGGAAGAAGAAGGAAGCGAGTGTACGGAAGGGAGGAGACAGACAGAGAAAGAGAGCAAGAGCATCGTCGGTTCGTTTTTTTTCTTTTTTTGAAGCCGAGGTAAGCGTGTCTCAGGCGGAAGCTAGACATGGGTAGCGTGTTGTAGGCTGAAGCAGGGCATGGGAAGGCAAATGATGGTGGTGTACAAATAGGGTCAAGGTAAGCGTGTCTCTGGCTGCTGAGCAGCAGGGCACGGAACGACCGGTTAAGCCGAGGTAAGCATGTTGTTGGCGAGAGCAAGACATGGAAAGACCAGAAGGTTGAGCAAGCATGTTCTAGGCTTGAGCAGGGCATGGAAAGGCTGAATAATGCGAGGGGTGTGGTCAAGGTAAGCGTGTCTCTGGCCAAAGGGCAGGACATGGAACGACCGGTAAGCCGAGGTAAGCGTGCTCGGGCAAAAGCGAAGGCTTGAGCAGAGCATGGAAAGGCATGGAGGTTTGTGTCCAAGCTGGGCGACCAGCGGAATGTGGTCAGCCTGGTCCTTGTTGCTTGAGGAAGCGTGTGGATTCCTTACTTAGTAGGGCCGGGAGGGAGGGAGAGAGTTCTATCTCCAAGACCCGGCCTTTGCGCGGCGACACAATAATAAAAATGGCATTTTTCGGGAAGTGAGAGACAAAATTCGGAGTATGTGCGGACACACGGGAGTGGTCTCACCGTTTTCTTACCATTTTGTGTAATTTCATGTCGTTAAATGTGCAAAGGGCACGGGAGAACATTCTCTCATCATTGATTGCCTCCTGACATGGTCGACGATAGAGGCGTGTGGTTGAGGTTTCATCACCGACATGTGGGTGTGTGTGTTAAAATGCAGTGGGTATGGTTACCTCTCTCGCCCGTGTGTAGGCAGAAGGTATGGCTACCTCGCCCATTTGTAGGCAGCGCGGACCACAAGTAAAGACAGAGTTTATCATTTCATGCATGCTACATCATTTGTATTTGGCATAGACTATAGGAGGAATGAGAGGTTGTTCTAACTTGAAGCAATTTTGACGGGTAAGGGGAGTACTCCCTGTGTCCCTGTTGTTCCCAGCTGTTGTCGCATCACTTGGCAGGATGTGTCATGGACAGGTAGACGTGGAAGGGCGGCGACAGGTGAAGGCAGCTGCAGTATGTTGTGCATGGTGGCATGTGGGCTTGTACATAACGCAGTCCATCTTCCACCACACACAAAGGAGTTTGTTCGTACCTGTGGGGATTTTTCCAAGTAGACTATTAAGTAGTTAAAGTTATTTCTTTCCCAACTTGGCCAAGCAACAAATATTCGCCCAGTGAACACCATGTGACCGCACCACCAACCATCTTGCACACAACGTTTTTGGGCATGCTTTGTCGATGGACTGAAGCAAATTATATCTAACGTAGAACTTGGTTGGAATCAACTTGTTGGAATACTCAATCATGCACCGTTGCAGTACACGCAGATGCAAGCAAACCTGATCCCGAACTCTATTTTACAAATGCCCTGCTGTTTGTCGGCCACGGCGCGTATCTTTCGGTATTATTTTTCGTTAATGATAAATCTTCAAGGCCTCCGCGTATACTGGGCCTCACGCCGGCAAGGCCTCCAGAGATCGGCTCGCACGTGTGCGGGCGTTCACGACGCCGGCAGGCGGACGCCTGGCCGAGGGTAGCACTTGCTTGGATGACTCGGGCACAGCGTTGCAGATCGGCTCCCCGTTTGCGGTGCAATTCAGGCTTCGCGCAGGACGTCACCAACCCGTGAGCTACTGCTGTGTCGGGGTTCTAGTCGTATCTGCGCCACCAGCAGCTGGCGGCGAGGCCGCAGATGGTCAGGTGGTCAAAGGGCAGCTAATGAGGATGAGGCTGGTTGAAGGTAACGGAGATGGTTCGACGTTTGAATGGGAGAACCGAAAGCTGCACACAGCGACTGACTACTTACAGCTGCTCCCTTGCCCTTCCTTGTCGAGGAACTGGACCCGACGTTGGAGATGGCGTTGCGGACACGGAAGCGGGTGTACTCATCGCAGGCGAAGGTGCTGGCGTCGATAGTAAGGCCGGTGACCTGGGTATCGTCGACGTCCGCAAGGTCAGCACACGTGGTGACCGTGTACTCAACCGCCGCAGCTGGCGCTGCCAGGAGACTACTGGTGATGACCGCGAGAGAGGCAGGTTTCATGTTCATATGTTGGTGCCCAGAGTTAATTAACAGAGAAGGAAAAACGGAAAAACAGTTTTCTTGGGTGGGGGTGGTCGTCGTTGTCGTTGTTGTTATTTTCTTCACATTAAACTATTCGTGTTCAGCATGGACGAATTGATCACCACACAGCACGTGCTTCAAGCTGAAGTGGAAAGGGTGCAAGGCTGGGCGGCGGTTCCTGACGTGCGACCACCACCACGTAACCAAGTCGCCCCTCTTCCTCTTCATGACAACAACCTCACTTGCATGGCGGGCTGGGCTCTCGGGGCAGAGGAAGTTCCGGTAGCTTCTGTGGATGGGAACGTGGAGTGCCCGCTGTGTTTCTCGGAGGTGTCCGCGAAACTACTGCTGCAGCACATGGGGGGGGACATCCTTCAGGATGAGGTAAGACGCTCGCAAGCAAGTGCACTTTGTTTCTGTTTCTGTGAGTTCAAAGGACTACCTGATATTCCAAGTTGGCCATACCTGCAAGAACGATGACAACGTGTTGTTTTGAATGTATTTCTGTTGATGGTACTGCCGCTCCCACAGGACCGACGGCAGCGCAACACGTGCGGCTTTTGTGGTGGGGACATTGGGGAGAAGTGCAAGACGTGGGTTGTCGAAGCAAAGATGGGGAAGGCTGCGCCTCAGATACGCTCCAACTGTTCTCTTGCGCCCAAGTTGGACTCGCGAACAAGTCTCGTTGCTATCGGCCTAAAAGCGGCGTCGAAGTTCACGACTTCTACACCTTGCACCAACGTACCCCTGAAGTGCTTGTTTTGCAGCCCTGAAAAGTGGGTGTACTATGTCCCACCACGTAGACCAGGAGCATGCCACTTCGTTGGAGCTCAGCAAAACAGATCGGAACACTGCGAAGTTCACGAAAAGCTTTGCCTTGTCGGCGAGACTGAGAAGGCGGCGGTGGTGGGAAGCTAAAGGGCAAGGGTACGGCTGTCAGAGCCCCCGTCACACGCCGAAAGGTCCCACACCGGAAGAGTAAGGCTGGCAAAGCCCCCGTAGCACGCCGTAAGGTCTCGCCGGGGACGGAGGGGGTTGATGGTACAGACGGGTCACTCTCAGACGAGTCCTCTCAGCGGAGACGGGGGACTCGGTTGAAGATGAGAGCTCGGGGTCGGAATCGGAGTCGTCGTCGTCGGAGGAGGAGGACGAGGACGAGGACGAGGAGGAGGAACAGGAGGAGAAGGAGGGGGGGGTGGGGGTGAGGGGGGAAGAGGATGAAGGGCGAAGGCGCTCAACATGAACGCGCTCGAAGAAACGGCGGTTTAGTCTTGTTGAGGGAGGTGGAGGGGCTTCGGGGAGTGAATAATAAGTACCATGCAAGACAAATTGCTATTATTTGTGGATGGATGGGTGTTGCACGTGGCGAAGGTGATTCCACCGCCGTAGGCTCATCGACAGCCCCTCTTCGGTATGTTGCCGGCTTGAGTAAGCTTGGAATGATGACGTTTCGACGCATGGGTATGTGTCATTTGGTTGTGTCATTTCGCCACATTCGACCGAGGTCAAATGTGGACTTGTCGCAGAGGCTTACAGAAGTTCTAAGTTGCTTGTAGCTGAGGGGTTGTCCCCGAGCACTACTGCTGTACTTCACGCCGAGAGGTATCCCCTCAAGTGATGTGCGTGCGAAATAGCCCCCCTACACAAGACATAAACGGACAATCACCGGCTACATGCCTCAACAACTTCAAGACCCACAGCAGCAACAGCAGTGACTTCTGACCAATGTACGCACTAGTCTGGCAAACACATACACGGCCCTGTGTCAGGATTGAAAGAGCCCATCGTCAAACCAAGGTTGTTTGTATTGCATCAGTTCCGGGACAGCTCACAGGATGCGGTTTCAAGCTCTTGAAGTGCGACCACAGCAGTGCGTGACATACCGCTCATCGGGTTTCGAAAACAGGACGAACAATCGAACACAACCTGAAATTCCAGGTACTCCTTCGACATGTGTCAGGCTGCCAGTTCGCGTCAAAATGTATTCCATGCAACTCTTAAGGAGAACAGCGGCTGGGATCTCTGGGGAACATGGATGCCTTTCTGATGTTGTCCAGGCCAAGGTAGAGGAACACTATGCGCTCCAGTCCGACGCCACCCCCGCCATGAGGAGGGCAGCCGTGTCTTCAATCAATCAAAATTGGCATCGACGGAGCGGGAGGGAGACAAACAGAAAGCGGAAGCAAGGAGAATCAATGGAAAATCTGCAAAACGCCACATGGAGTCGAAATCCTGAGGTGACAACGAGAAAAAGGTATGTGCATTTACTGGTACTCCGTGAGGGCAGGCTATGAGTGCATGTCTTGTGGTCTCTAGCGAAAAACAGTGACAGACGTGGGGGATGTTTTTATTGCGCAAGGGCAACAGTGCCAGCACCAGCACTAGCACGTGTTTCATATGCCACAAGTGTTCTACGATCCGCGTGTAAAGAGAGAAGCAAGCTCACGAACCCACCAACAAAGACGTACTCCGCCTAACGCTTACCTGAAGGCGTTGATGTAGTCGGACAGTGGCTCTGCCGGCACCCCCTTCTCCTCAAGAATCTGCATCAACATGTCGGCGTCGTGGCACCTGAGGACACAAGAACAGGTTACGGAAGGGGAGGTAGAAACCAATAACTGAACATGCTGCGTCACCAACAAAGCCCACGCAACGGGTAAAAACGCTGCTTTCCATATATTCAGCAAACCATCAGTCTGAAGCTACGAAGTTTGACACTTACTTCTTGTTTTTTGTGAAGAATGCCCGTGTTTCCTCTCCCCTACAAAAGCCCGACTAAACTTCTTCTGTTTTCCGACAATAATCTAGTTCTACCTGCACTCTGACGTAGCCAAAGTTCTACTGCCAACCGGCAGCACCGAGACAGCGACTTTTCAAACGCAAGCTACGACGGTGCTTTGGGCACGCTTTCAAAGAAAACCACGCGGCAGAATAACACAGCTCCTCTGTACAATACCGTATCGCGGAATGGGAGAGCGTTCTGAGGCTCACTCAAACAAGCAGCGCATTGAGTTTCCAGCGGACAGCCTTGCTCAACAACCCGGAAAAAACTAACATGTAAAAATTACCTCATGATGTTTGAACCGACACCGAGACGGCCATTCGACGACAGACATCAACCCAATCACATTGACTTGCTTGTGTTGCTTCTTTAACATTGGGGGTCAAAAACAGTGGGCGCTACCGCTGGCTTACCGTTGTGCCCCTGAGCAGATCTCTTGCCCCCGCAAAATCAGGTCGTAAGAGTTCGAATACCTGGGAGATAGCGAAACGCCGGGTCGGGTCGGGGGGCGGGGCTACATGGGTGAGACAAACGACACACCAGGCTGTGCGTAACCATGCCGGGCGTTCTGAAACGGCGTTCTATCGTCTCCCCAACCTTCCGACTCTTACCACGTGGCCTATTCCTACTGGGCTTGTGCCAACCTTGTGCCTCTCCCTTGCCATCGTCGTATCCATTACGGCCGACAAACTGACACTGACAAGACACGGTTCGACTACAAGTATGTACGAACATGACCCGTTCCCGAAGGACTCGGTTATCGCGGTATCGAGCTACATCGCGTTGTAGATCGATAGGATTCACCTCTTGTCGTCAGGGCAAGGCATGGTGTAGAACGGTCTGATCTGGGTGGGGAACCGGTCGAGGAAGAAGAAGTCAGACCCGAATTTCTCTGCCACTAGCTCCCCCAGAGCCAGCTCTTGCGCGCCCGAGAGGTCATCAAAGTCATTGGCCTGCCGACGGAGCGAAGATGGTGGCACGAAACAGAGGCGTAAGAAAGGCAATTGCTACTCGCTTTAGGGCTAAGGAGTCTCAAATATGCGAACATCGTCTTGTTACCGAATAGGCAAGAGAGCGGGGGGAGCGGCTAATGCCCGCGGCATGGTGTTACTACAATAGTCGTGTGCCTACCACAGACTACAATTGAGAATTCCAGAACGCGGTATTGCTACAAGGCCTTGATGGGAGAGAGCCAAGAACGGACGGTCAACCCTGGTGGACAAGGTCGACATCAAAGCAAGCAGGAAGGTGAGAGACGCACTACAAAGCCTGATGCCTAGTAGCATCGATTGGTGCGTTGCAACCCATGCGTAATTCGCCGATAAATCAGGAAGAGACCTGTGCTTGAAAAATACGTTGGCTTCGTACTTGCCACACTTCGTACCCATTGAATTATGCGAGTCATCGCGTACCCCCTTCTCCAAATCCACTGCTCAATTTCTTCAGCACCAGGAGGTTGTCAACGCCGAAAGGACGATCGTGGAAAGATTTCGTCGAGACAGAGCTTTCCTTGAACGGATCGGTTGGCATTCAAAACCCTCTGGGTTGTGGAGCAAGCCAGCTTTGAAATCGGTCTAGGGAACGCGCAACGACTCGCACATATTGACGGTCACCCTCGAATGGTTCACCATAGAGGCAATGGGAATGCAAGCAAGACATGTACAAAGCCAGGCACTTCGGTGACGAATGCGACTGTACGTAAAGTGTCAGGTGCTGATGGCAAATAGCTCGAATTCCGACCCTTGCTTCCAAGCAGGTTCGGAAGGTTTCGGATGGAAGCCTGGCTTTTTACAGATTGTTAGTGCAAGGCCGTCCTAAAAATTGACGCGGATACCGGGAGCAAACCACCTACATGCACAAAACTGGGTGTTACGCATTCCACGACTTTCATGGAACAACATAGCAAGAAAAACGTGACACACCTCGTGACCCGCGTCTCTGAGCATCTGGATCCCGTCCTCCCAGTGCACCACCAAAGGCTCCTCCGTCACGCGCACGGCCGTGGAAGGGTACTGCATTCGAACCGCGTCTAGCTGGTCCTTATATCGCTCCTCCAAACCCGAAAAGATGCTCTGGCGAACGTTTCAAAATACGTACAAGCGGACGAAACGCCCAGACAATAAGTGACACAAATATGAGGCTTCCGTTGCACAATTTCAATGCCTCACCAAGATGTAAATAAAGACACGTTTGTGCTGCCGGAGCCCGACATCTATCTAGGGAGAGAGTGTGAAGTACGACTGGTCATATGCTGCTGCTGTTCACATGGGCTTGGTGTCTTGGTTGTGTGGCCGCAAAACCAACTCTGTCGTTCAACCTCTACCCAGTACTCCCCATAAGAACGGTGCGAAATTCTGCAATCGATCCCTCAAGCCCTCACAAATGTTGACAGAGATGCAGCAAAGGGCAAAGATAGCCAGCACGTGGTGTGTTTGTTGTGCAAAATCAAAGGCAATTGCATACATTCTTATCCTTAACCCTATCGTTGGAGTGGCAGAATGCTTGTGAGAACGCGGGTACCAAAAGAACGAACAAGACGCGGCGTAGAAAATCCTTGGCCTTCACAACTTGCCGCTACAGACTACCCTCATGACGACAAATATACAACTGCTTGGCACGAACCGTAGGTCCTTTGCTTTCGTCATTCACGAAAATTATTCGTCGTTCACGAAAACTATGAAGCACGGCATGAATCAAAACAATGGAGGTGGGAAAAAGCCAAGTGCAACGCTGATGGCATGCGGCTCGAGGGCATACCTTAAAGGTGTTATGCAGCACTTGGATGACCTCGTTGTAGTGGTCTGTGATGGACATCTCCAGGTCCAAACCGTTAAATTCGGTCAGGTGTCTGTCAGGTTAGGGTCGGGATGAAGGCAAGGCGCGAGAACGTAACGTGTCACAAATGCTCTGAGGGGGGCATGGCGTTGCTGTGGTTCGACATTGGTCTACGTATCCACTTTGCTCGTGGTGTGCACGAAAACTTCCCACGTGAAAGACGCTCACGCACATCAAGCCGACTAATCATTTTTTTTTTAACCATCGTGCACCGTACAACCGACACCTATGGTACACTGCAGTACAGACAGGTGGATCGGGACGACTTGAAGGATGCAGTACACTTGCGGTGGCCGAAAGTACAGCAGTAGCAGCCAGCCATCCTCACGACTCTACACTTTTCAATCCCTCGTGTCCGAGAAAACGCTATTGGTCATCTCTCCCTTCTGGAAAACGGCTCACCGCGACTATGCACACCGCACCCTTGCCACAATCTCTTGGAGAAATGTCCTCCCTCTCTCTCATCACACGGTTGTGAACAGCCTTTATCGTTCCGGGGCCCTACCTCTCGGAGTGATCTATCTCTGTTGCACACCCACCACACGCTAGCACGTGGGGTGTCGAACAAACTCTACCGGAGGGGAGACGATCGCAACACACCCACGACTCAAACACAGGTCATCACAATCATCACTCGGCGCAGCATTGGCCACGACCACGCCGCGGAGCTAGTACAAGCACCATCACCGCGGGCGAAATCCATCTTAGGGAGTAGATAGTCTTGTCCGGCAAGAAACGTGCTAATCGCACCAAGACAAAAAGCAACCATGCCACCCGTTGTGGTTGCAAGTGTGGCCTGACAAGCACAGCATTAAGCCGTCTTGCATGGGCCCTGAACGTGACTGAGTGGCCCACCTTCGAGTGTTGGAATTTTCCGCCCGGAAGACCGGTCCCACCTCGAACACCCTGCCCATATCCGCAGATATCGCCATTTGCTTGTAAAGCTGCGGTGACTGGGCGAGGCAAGCTTGCTGCGACATGCGTGCGACAAGCGAAGCGAGGGTCGGGAGACAGCGAGGCAAGGATTTCGAGACGACGAACAACAGAGAATGGGGAAATAACGTCAAAATTATAATCCGTCAATATGCGCTGCAGCAGCCAAGCACACGGAATACGCGGGGAAGAACTCACGTGCAAAAACGCTGGGACTGCGGGGAAGTTTGATGAAAACTCTAACCAAGGGCGGGCTAACTGACGTTACAGTTACACCGAAGTTGAATCAATTAACCTTGCCAAAGTAGTCCGTGGTGAAAACGCCTGCACCGCCCTCGCTTTCCCCGGGGATGATCTTCGGAGTGTGGATCTCCATAAACCCTTGGGCGTAGAGCGACTCCCTGCAGAGAAGAAGGCCGACGAGAAATCAATAGAACAAACACAATGGTGGCGCGAATCATGGAGGGGGATAAGAGAGAACGTGACTCTCGTTGGTGGCTTTTCATACTGTACATTGTAGTCGTTCGAACAGGAGCAAATAGCCGCTTTACGTGCAAGGCCTTACGTACAAGTCGATAAGGGGAAGAGGAAAGCGTATTGGTTGCATGGCTCTTGACAGGTTGTGGGGGGTGGATAGATGTTCGAGAAGGTCCGCTCGTTAGTGTGAATGTCGCCGGAGAATGGGGGCATAATCATGTTTGATGTTTGATGCTGGTTTCAATGTTGGGAGGGAGGTTTATTGGGTAGCAATGTCCAAGGAAGAGGTGGACGCGCGCCAGGGCAGTACGTCAGTGGTTGTTTCACGGGCGATCTCAAAGGCAGCGTAGCAACAGCTATTAGAATAGATGCACGTGCGAGTCCAAGCCGTCTGTGCCATCAAAGTGCATCTAGCGAACAAGGTGAAAGTTTCGGTGCTGAAGGAAGACAGCAAAACAAGCAAGGTACCGTAAACTACGGAGTTTTCCCCCCGGGGAGGGGATCGTTTTTTTTTCTGACACCACCCCCCCAAAGGGGAAATTGACGTACCGCGGGGGGTTAGTTTTTTTTTTCCAACGCTAACCCGGGGGGAAGCCCCCCCCCGGGGGGTTGGGCAAAATAATGATGGTCCACACACCACACACACACAGAGTGGCGAAACTGAGATGGATAAGGTTTACGAGCAAGCGTTCAGCAAGCAGAGGGAAGAGAAACGTAAGAGCAACAAAGGCGAAGAGAAAGGTACCATTGCCTAAGCTCATGCACAAGAATTCGCAGTTTGTCCGCAGGAATAAGCTATTTTTATGGTTCGGTTCTACCTTGAGTTGTGAGATCCAAAAATGAATAAGGATTATTTTTTCCCTTTGTGCGCAAGGTTTCGTCAGCATGCTTATGGTAGGATTCAGCTGACTCCGGGGATAATAATTGCAAGAAATGGCCACCAAGAGGAAAGCTTTTTACCCATAAAACAACGGGGGGGGCCAAGTGCCAAACGGTACCCCTAAATTTCGCTGGAAGCCCACCCCTGCAAGGAAATTTTCCTTCCCATATCATGCTTTTTGTGTTCCGGGAGGCAACAAAATGGATTCAGAAAATAAGAAAAAGGCTTCCCCCTGGGGGAGAATTCGGGAGGAAACAGGTACCCCGGGGGGAAATTGAAATACCCGGGGGGATCTTTGTTTATTCTTGTCGAAAACGATCTACCCCGGGGCTAAATCAACAAAACCATGCTTCCAGGCCGAAAAGGTAATGGGGGGGGGGGGGGGGGGTGTACTCATAGTCGTGCATGCCGTAGTCGTTAGACCATTGACCTCGCATCCCTACAAAGCCGGGACGGAGCATGCCGGGTTCTTACCGGACCAGGCTCTCACATCACCAAGCGCGAAGCACCGTGAGGTATTCGGCGAGTCGCATGAAGGGTGAGCTGCATCCTGCTAAGGGTGTTCGGCATCTTGTGCTTACTTCCTTGCGTACGGATGACAGCTGCGTATGACTTAATTTATTTTCTGGTGCTTTCACTTCCAGAGACAGTTATAAGCACTGTGTAGCTGCCTCGAGGATGCTTGACCAATTTAACACGACGTGGTGCGATCATCCCCCTTGCGCGGAGTGAGGTTTCTCCACCCCGCACAACATGATCTACTCGACCACCATTATGGTTTTCGCCAAAAAAAAAAACAGAGGTAAAAAAAAAAAAAAACGGTAACCTGGTTGCCGAGTTCACGAAGTGAATTGGCTTCTTTTACAACGTCGTTGCCAAGCGACGAAAACCCAATCCCGATGGCAAACACCGGGGGGGGGGCTTGTTAATGGGGGGGGGGGGGGGCCTCCGGGGGGGGGGAAAACCCTATTTTTCGGGGGGGGGGTTAGGGGGGGGGCAAAATCCACAAAAAAAAAAAAAAAAGGGGTCCAATTGGGCCACTTCCCTTGTGGGGGAAAAAAAAGGGGACCCTTGGAAAAACCAAGAAAAATTAAAAAAATCCTTTCCGTACGGGGGTACCTAAAAAACTGGGCCCCCCCCCACCGCAGTCCCCTGAAGGGGTTTTTTCCCGGGGGGGCAAAGGTCCAACCCCCGGTTGTCGAATCCAAAGGTTTTTTCCCAAAAAAGGAAAAGGCCCTCCGGGCCCCCGGGGGGGGAACCCCCCCCGGGAATTTGGGGGAAAGGGGGATTTCCCCCCGGGGGGTGGGGGGGGG